GTAGGAAGCACAGCTGATTGCTGAGCGACTGAGCTCCGTGTGGTTTGGCAAGCGGGGCTCCCTCGCTCTGCTCCGCGGGCAGGCGGGGATGGATGCGGGATCCATGCGGGCTGGGCTTCCCCGGGAATCCCTGCTGGCTTTGGGCCATCCTGCTCCCACTGCTTCTGGTGAGGCAGCTCCCAGTTTGCACACGATGGAGAGAGCAGAGCATCTGTTGGGTTCAGCTGAGCTACGACTCGATGCACCACGGCTGCTGGTTTCACCGGGGGAAAGCTCAGTTTATGGTGGGGTAGTTAACAAAAATTCAGAAGTGTTAACGAAAGTAAGAAGTAGTTAACGAAAATTTTAGAAGTGCATGTGCTGCATGGAGAGGAGGTTTCCTGCCAGCTTTGTCTTCCCAGGCCCTCTGGAGCAGTGCCCTAGGTGTGAACCCACATACCAGTGCTCAGAGCTAAAAGGGGGCTCGCTCTTGCTCCGTTATCTCAAACTGGTGACCTCAATGCTGAAAAACACTGGGAAGACCCTTCCAAGATGCATTTTTATCCCACAAGGGCCTTGTCAGGGAACAGAATAGTTGCTGGCGTTTGAGCTGGGAGGCTCTGGGGAGGCACAGGGCTGTGACACTCAGCACAGGCTGCCACACTTATCTCCCAGGCCACACTGCCCGCCAAGGCTCTGCCTGCAGCAGGGCCTCCTCAGCCCCAGTGAGCCTGTCTGGGAGATTTCGCAAACACTTCAGGGCTGAAATCTAACAACAGCCTGTTTCCCAACACTTTGCAGCCCTCCTCCCCTGCTTCCCCCTCCCTGGGCCCAATCCTGCCTGCCCTGGTGCTGCTGTGAGCCAACCCCAGGCTCGGGCAGAAGGCACAGCCAGGTCAGCCTGATACCAGACTCTGCAAGGGATAAGCTTGCAGCCTTTGCAGAGCTGTTTTCCATCCCTCCCTCTACCTGTCTGGGATTTCTGCTGTCAACATTCCCACCAGTTCCCTACAGACTGGCCTTTCTCAGCAGGGATCAGCCTTGGGATGTCACCAGCCTCTTCAGATAGGTGCATGTAGCGAGGAGTTATGACCTCTCACTCATTCCATGACCTGCATCCCAGTTCTGCATTGCTCTGTCGCATTGTGGCCCTTGTTCCCACAGTTGGGAGTGCAGCATCCAGCACAAATCCAGCCCTGTTTCTAGAGGCAGCTTGAGTTTATCCAAAGTCTCTTCACTCAGTGTGGGAGAGGATGCTCAGGGCTCCCATGCCTTGCTGGAGAAGGAAGTCTGAGGTCATGCACTGTGCAGCAATGGTGGTGAGTTGGTCGAGGTGTTTTGGATGCCCCATGAGTTACACCTGGGTGTCTGTGCCAGCCTCCTGCCCAACCTGTGAGCCCACACCTGCTGCCCTTGCTCCTCCAGGTTCAGAGCAGGATGTGTCATGTCCTGCACACTCCAGGTGACAGGAGTGATGGATTGTGTCTCTTTTCTCTTGATGATGGATAGTCTGTGGTCCAGTGTGCTTGTGGTGTGACTCACATTCCCCGGAGCATTGTTGATCCAGTGCCATGACTGTTCTGGATCATCTCCAAGAGCTGTGTGTGTAGGTGTGTGGAGCTGTGTTCTTCACTTATGTCTTTTTCAATCTACTTTAGCTGGTCTGAGAATACAGTATTTTGCATTACTTTATCAAATGTCCAAGCCAGGCCCTAAGTTTAATTTTAGCTTTTTCTTCCTACCCTCCTAGACATTTTCTGGGTTTTCTACATGGGGAGATGGTCATAGGTGAAATGCAGGGCTTGGTGTTTTGAAGGAAGAGGAGCTGACTCCTTACTCCTGGCTCTACAATGGGTCTATCTGGAAATTTCAATGCAGGTCGTGTATTCTGGTAATGAGTTGGGCTTTCACAGACCTATTTAAAAAGAAAAGAGGTAGTTAATCTTGGAGTATGTATATCTGGGCTCCACACCTAAATGGGCTATCATTCAGTGAAAGGATCAGCATTTATTATTTCTAGCACATCCAGCAGCTCTATTTCATGGCTGTGTACTCCAGAGGCTGTCACTGTGTGAGCCCAAGGCAACAGACAGTTCTTCTTTTAAGGGTTTTCACAGTTTCCCTGAGCTGGGTACTTCTGACAGTCCCAGCAGATTCTGTGTGTGCATTAAATTCCCTAAATACTGATGGAAATCAGGTCCTTGGGGAACTCAAATGTGTATTTGTTGTAAATGTTGTTTAAAGTGGAAAACCCTATATGACTGCTAAGTTTTTGGAGAATTTTGTCATGTCTAATGTGACTGTGACTGTGCTTATTACCCATAGAAATCTCTGCCTTTTCACATAATAGAAAACTGATCTCTGGAGCTCACTGCCATAAGACAAAACAATTCATCTATCTGGACAATAGCACTGTAAAAATCAAATTGCATAAAAAGCCTCCATAAGGGACATAAAGTGAATAAGACTGATCTGATCAGGAAGAAACCCTTCTCCATCAGGCTACCCACTGCTGGGAACTGCTGCTGAGCCACAAAGCTGTCTGCTCTGGGGGCCACAGCTCTGCCTCAGAGAAAGCTTCTGCTCTTCTAGCCATGACCACTATTGGGAGACAATAAACAGCCAGACATTTCTTCTCTGGTTGCTCCATCTCCCCAGGAATTGGCTGTAATGCAGCAACAATCCACACTCGTACGTGCACCTTTTCAGGTCGCTCCAGGGCTGAGCACATCCTGTGAGAAAGCAAAGAGGAGAACAAGGGATTCACGAGGAGAAATGGGAGGAGAGAAATGAAGGAGGTAGAGCACTTCAGGCAACATCAAACTCATGCCAGTTTGGGTGTCTGAAGCTGCTGTTTCAGCAGAAAGTAGGTGAGGGGAATGTGAGCTGGTGGTTTGGAGACAGAGCCATGCAGGGCTTTCTCTCCTGGCTCTGATGTTCCTGCAGGTGAAATGGGAGCATGTTTGGGATCTCTGTGTCTGCAGCACATCCTGCTTAAGCCTGGACAGCAGCAGAGACAAAGTGCAGTGGGCTGTCACCACTAATTTCAGACACTTTACTGGAATGCCTGAATTGGGTGTGTGGCTGACCTGTGTTCAGTGCAGAGTGTGGATCCATCTTCCCTGTCTCTCCTCTGAATGAAGGGGCTACTTAATCTCCTTTGTCAGGTTGTTACAGGCAAACACAGGGAATCCAGGCCAGGGAGAGGAAAAAGCTTGATCAAGACAAATGAAAGAATCAGGTTCCTAGGTCTTGCCTCCAACTAGTAGCTTCATTGTACATCAGGGAGGATTTTTTAAGTCAAAATCATTGCCAAATCCAGATTGAACTGAATGATTCAGGATAAAAAAAATGAAAACAGAGGAAAACTCCAGGCGTACTTAAATGTTTTGTTTGAGCATTTTCTAAGTGAAACAAGTTTTTGTTTCAAGACATAACTTTTGCTGTGAAATAGTCTTTTTTATTTGTTTGTCTTGAAGGGAAAGGTCAAACCTGAAATGTAGCAGATAATCTAAACCAAAATGTTTCCTTCTACACTGAACAGAAAAAACTAAATTTTTATTTTGCATGTATCTTTTCTTTTTCCTTTCCAGTATTTTAACTCAGTCATAAAACAATCCCTCCTCAGCCTCCTCCCCAAACCCCATTGTTTACAGTCTTCTCTGTTTTCCTATCTAAGAATATTCATAACACTGTGATATGAGACAGTCCTGCTTGGGCTGGCTTCTGTTGGATCAAGTGACCCTTAAGCTTCTATTGTTTTCTGCAGTTTATAAACTTATTCAGTTGCCAGTTATTTGGATTCATTAGCTTCTAACTTTTTGGACTCTTTCTTCTCTTTGCATTCTCCACATTTTGTGCAATTGTAGATTCAGATTATTCACTGGTTATTTAGTTCATAAGTCACCAAGGCCATGGCTTGATGAAGAGTCATCACCCTATTCCACTCCACCTGGAGGGTCAGGTCTGCTGTGAATGGAATCAAAAGCAAGGGGAGGAGGCTCTCTAAGCCCTGATTTGGTGATGAACGTTGGCTATTTAGTGTCTCTGTCAGCATGTCCCTGCCTTAGGCTACCCAGTTGTGAAATTAAGCTCCACACCCCTCCTTCCCAAATTGTGTGTGTCAGGAGAAAGGCATCCTGGAGAGGCACAGGCAGGGACTCGTGAGGAAGGTCTACTGGAGATGACAGCACAATGCTGGGTCCACATTCCTAGATGGGCTGTGGGTGATGCATAGGGAACAGGCAGACTCAGGCATTGTAGCCTGGAGAAAAGTGTTTGTGAAAGGGAGAGTGAACGTGTGGCAGCAGAGCCAGGGGGAGCAGACAGAGCCTGTGCAGCCCTCGCTGGGAACACTGGAACAGGTTGTGGCACTGCCTTGGAAGGAGTGTAAAGGAGGGGAATGAGGTCATCTGTTCAGTCTGTGCAGATGAGAGAAATTCTTGGGAATTCACTTCAGGGCAAGTGAGACACTTGTCCCACTGCCTTTTCTGCAGGTAAATACTGTGATGCAAGAGGCCCAAATCAGCTTTCCGTGGGTAAGCATTGCAGGCTATTGTTTCAGCTCCTTCCCATGCTTCTCCAGAGGGGTCACAGAGAGATGACAGATGGTGAATGCAGCAGTCTCCCACTGCATTCCTCTGCTGTGCCTCAGTGCCTGTGAGCTGCATCTCCTGACCTCAGACACGAGAGGTGTTCCGAGAAGTCTCTGCTGGACTCCAGCTGCACTGATCTGTGAGACAGTGCTTGGTTCTGCTCCTGAGGAACTGAACCCAAGAACATTCATAGTTAAGTGCACAAATGGACTTAAATAAAGCAGCAGCACCCAAACCATAGGCCCTTAGGAACCTCCGTGCAGCACCAGCTCAGCACTGTAATCACTGAAATCACTGTAAAAAATAACATAGGTGAAGATTGCAGCTGATCTCTGAAGATTTCACCCCAGAGATCTTTCTTGTTCTCCAGGTTGCTGTAGGTGTGTTCCTTCCTTCATGCCTTTGTGTTTTTGGCTTCTTCCCCAGGTGACACCGTTTCCTATGTCCTGTGACCTACAAGGAGAGTGTGCTTGCCGGGACCCCAACGCCCAAGAGCACAACCAGAAAGACCTGCGTGGCTTCAGTCTTGGGTAAAGCCAAGTGACATGGAAAGGAGGACCACACTGCTCAAGGCAGGCTAGGAGAGACACCACATCCCTTTTGGTATCGTTTTTAACATTTAGCTGCTCAACTGGATGGCATTTCTGCACCAGGGACCCTTAGAATTCAACCAGTCTGCCTTTAATTTTTGTCCAAGGAGAACTCAAAGTAGGGGTTTATGTATTAATTATATCTTAAATAGTGATCATGAAAAAAAAACAACCAAGAATCAAGTCAAGATGACTTTCATGTATCAAAACAGCATGTTATGCCCACCTAATTTGAACAGTTCATATCTAGATTCAAGGCGAGAAACAAACTATTTATGTACACGTATTTATAGAAATAAGTAGAGAAAGAGAGAGAGAAAGAGTGAGAGATTATGATCAACCCAAAAAACACTTTCCCCTCCCCAGCACTCACAACTCAGACCGTTGGTGGAAGAGGCTGAGCTCTTGGAGGACTCCAAGCTGAGCCTTTTCTGATGCTGAATGCCAAGGTATGGCATGCTCGGGGCACTGTGGCTGGGGTGGGATCTCCACAGGGCTGGGCCTCTTGGCAAGGGACTTGCCAGGCACCCAGCCAGCTCAAGATGTGGGATGCATCTGCTCCTCACAGGAACGCTGCTTCCAGCCAGGCAGCTCAGCAGACTGCAGTGGCCTTTCTGTACAGCTCCTCCTTCTCCCCCTGCCCTCAAAGAGCCAACAAAAAGCCCCCCTTGTAGCCTGCAGGGCTTCTGGGGTGTTTCTGTGTGGAGCTGGGCAGGTGGTCCCGTGGTGGAGTGATGGAGTGGGGAGTCTAAGGGCTGGGATTGAGGACCATGGATGATTGCTTCTGAGGAGCACAGAGAGGGGAACTCGCACCCGCACTTGTCATTTGAGCATGTCTGCTGCTGCTACTCCTGCTGCTATGTCCCATACAAATAGTTTCCTTACTGTGTCAGGACAGGGTGAAAAACAACCCCATGCAACCAAACAGTCTGCCTTAAAGCTTACCTACAACCTGCCTTTCAAACCCTCTGGTCTCTTCCTCAGCACTGGGGCAAGAAAACAGGACACCAGCCAGCCAAAGGAATCTGCTTTCTGGTCTCCATCCTGCCAAGTGGCTCTCCAGCCTCCTCCACCCCACTCTCAGGGTGAGCTGATTCTGACAACTGCTTCCTGCTCCTGTTGTCTTGGGAGAGGGGAAGAGGAGGAGGAGACACCTGCCATGAGGAAAGGCCCTTAGGAGACAGTATTAGAATTTTGGCCATATTTGTCAGTATTAAGCTGCCAGGCCAGTGGTTCGGACCCTTGGGATAGACCAGGAGCCTAGCTGTAATCTTCCAGAAAGAAGGGCATTAGCTGCAGCAGACCTCACACTTCCCTGTCATCCTCCTGCTTCAGCCCACAGGGCAACATGTGCCAGACCCTCAGTGATTCCCTTCCTTACAGGGTTCATTACACTGAGTCACTGAGATACCCAGGGCATCCAATGCTGCTGCTGCTGCAGCCCATCCCAGGGAAATCCCAGAGGTCTTTCCAGTGTGGCTTGGGCATGTGCTCCAAGCTCCTGCTAAGAAGAACACACATCCAAAAGAGCATCCCTCCCAGTGTTAAGTTTGTTTGTTCCTTGGAACTGTCATGACTTGCACAATCTACTGGGTAAAGAGAAAAAGATTTTTTTCTAACTCCTGCTTTAGGCACAGGAGCAAGGCAGAAAGGTAAGGGCAGGGGTCATTTAGCTCATGTAAAAAGGTAGATGTAAAAATGATTTAGAGAACTAGAAATGGAAAAATTATAGAATAATAAGTGCAGGGAGCCAGGTTCTTGTTACCCACTGTTGGGGTTGTTTATATTGGAATGAACCAGAGAAGAGTCTCAAGAACAGAAGTAGAGGCCTGGAGAGGGGATTGTCACTAAGAGGGTGAGGAGATCTCTGTTGTGAAGCTCCAGCTATTCCTAGAGAAGGCCTGGCTGTGGGAGCTATGTGGATGGCTCTGCCCCTCTGTGCAGGAGTGTCCTGGAAAGGGAGCTGCAGTGGGATCAGGGTTCCTGCCATGGAGTCAGACTGAACATCCCCCAGCATAGAGAGCAGCAGCATAAGCTTCCACTTTTGCCCTTCACCTTCTAACTGATATGGGAAGTAAATAACTGTGCAAAGGTTGCTGCTTCCTTCTGGTCCCTTTGCCCTCCCTGTTTGGTTGGCAGTTTGTTCATGTGCCACCCAGCCTGTCAGAAGAGCTCACAACCTCAAAAGCCTGTCAGACTGACAACACTTCATGTCCTCAATGCCTGAGGCATCTTGGCATGATTTCCCCTCTCCATCCCACCTGGGTTTCATCCCAGCAGGGATCCTCAGTTCAGCTCCTGAGTGCATGCTGAAAATGCCCTTCCCAGTGCAGAGCTCAGCATGGAGGAGATTTCCCATCTGTTTTTTCCACTTGAACAATGCCCAGGAGAAACAGGTCTGTACAGACATTATCGCCACTTGCTGCTGTGGGCTCACAGGAGCTCAAGGGCAGCTGAGCCCCTCTGGCCAGCCAGGACCAGTCCCTGCTTGCTGAGCTGGAGACCTCAGCTCAAGGGAGAGAGGCTTCTCACCAGCACAGCCTCACTCCTCAGCTTCCCTCCTGCAGTCCTAGGGTGCCCCAACTCCCTTTCCCACCAGCAGGCTTTCCATGCTGCTATTTGATTTTTAACTTCTATGTTGGCACTGTCCATCTCCTTCAGTAGGGCTGATGGGATCAGGAGTGGAAAAAAAGTTCTTCTCTGAGTGATGTTTAATCCAATGGTTTGTTGGTTTGTTGGGGTTTTTTTTCCCATTGGGGCAAATCCCCTCTGCATTTTCAGGTGCTGCACCAAGCACTCAGAGAGATGCCAAGAGGGGAGCTGTGGGGAATGGACACATGCTCAGGTCTTGTCCCCTGTGCTTCCAACCTTGGGCAAGACCAGCTGGATCCTCACATCATCTACCACTGTATGGGCCTCAAATGCCCATGGAGTCCTAGGAAAGACCCTCCCTGACTGTGGTGGCCAGTGGGGGGAAGGTGAGAGGGACATCAACCCCCACCTCCATCCACTGAGCCAGCAGCATAGGACAACACCAAACCAGAAGCTTGGGGGAAGAGAAGAGGGTGCTGATGCTGGTGAAATTTAGCTGCTCATAAAATCCAGTTCACATTAGTGCCAAGATCTTCTCTGTCATAGTGAGCCAGGGCTGCACCTTATGTGGGGCCACCAGGCTGTGGGGGATATCCATGGCCAGCAGGAGGGAAAGCTGGAGCAGAAAGCGGTGAATGGTGCACGGTGGGGTGGGAAACTCCAATCAGCTGCTACCCCTCTCCCTCCCCACCATCTTGCAGACAGGGCTGAGCTGGTGTCCTCCTGCTTTTCTTGCATCTTCCGCTGTCACCCCTAGGCTGAGAAAGGAGGATGGCACCAGAGGATTCTTGGAATCGGGTTCCAGCTACCTCCCTTCTAGTTTCAGTTTCACTTGGTTGTAACTGTCGGTTTGTTTTAGGTTTTACCTGTGTCTAAGAGAAAAAAAAAAAAAAAAAAAAGAAGAAAAAAAAGGGAAAAAAAAAAAGACAGAGAGAAAAAAAAGAAAGCCCCATAGCCAACAAAAGATTTTGCTACAAGTGATTCAAGTGGGGCGAAAAAAATAATGTGTGAGGCTTTACAGAGAGGAATAGGAGAGAAAAAAAGAAAACAACAAAACCCATAAAAAATGGAGAAAAGAAAAATGAAAAGAAAACCCACATAATCCAAATCCAAGAAGAGCAAAGCCTATTTTTGTGTGTTTGAAAGGAAAACACCGATTCTGCCAGCTGAGTAGAGAGCTAGATACTAAGTGTAGATTTCCCTAGAAGTACCGTGAGGTTTTATAACATTGTCTGGTTTTGTTTTCCTCGTGTGTTGTGATAAGTCCAGGAACTAAGGCTAAGGGGTTATCCCCTGGTATATTGTTGTTTGTGGGGGGAGGGAGGGGGTGGAGTTTGTTATTTTTTTTTTCCAGATTATTTTTTTAAGTGTGTATTTGTGCTTATTTTTACGTTATCCAACTGTACATACGCATTTAATCAGTATTTCACTGTGCTCTAATTACTGCACTCAGAAGCACTGCACAGTCTGAATCCCGGAGAGCTGAGAGAGACTGGGAGTGAAGGGGGAAGGAGAAAGCTGCTACCTGAGCAGACAGGTGATTCCCATTTTGGGGAAGCGGGGTGCTGACCCCCTCTTCCCACACTCCAGCCCGTTTTGCCCATTCGAGGCTGAGCTAAAGCACAGGAAGGGATGGGGTGAAATCAGTCAAGGCTGGGATGCCCAGAGGGGTTTCAGAGGTGGAAGTCTGGCCTTTGAACTATTTTGGATGCCATGGAAACTCCCAGCCTTTCAGCAGCATCTTGCCCAATCCCTGGAGGCCCCAGTGAGAGTTGGTGGGCATGTTCATATCACTGGGAGAGGACCACATGCCTTGCAGAGATATGCTCTAGGTACCTCGAGATGTCTTTATGGTTGTGGGCCCCATTTTGGTCTCAGTGGTGCAGCTGAGCTGATCTGTTTTAGATTTTTTCCATGTTACCCCATCCTCTGGGGAGGGCCATCTCCCTGTTGAGGGTGCAGCAGCGCTTCTGCCTCCGGGTGACCTTATATGCTGGGCATTCTGAAGCCCCAAGAACAGTCCCATTTCCCTGGAGGACCTTGACCACTGAGTTCAGTGGGAGCATGAGCAGAACATCAGCAGGAGCAGGTCCAGGTGGCCCAAGAGGTATTTCCTTGGAGCTAAGGTCAATTTGGGCAATAGGGATTTGGTGTTGGGCTGTTCCTGCCACCTGGGGGGTTCAAACCCCCCTGTTCCTTTTAGCAGGAGCAAAGCGAGGCTTAATGTTTTGTTTCTGTCTTCGTTTGGCAAACTGAGTTTTCCCCTTTTCACCGGATCTACACATCCAAGATTCATTGAGAGTGAGAATCACTTCCTCTGAGGCCACACTCAAGAGCTTGGGTTGGCTTCAG